GGGGTCTAGATGCTGGTGGTACGAGGGGTGGGGGGTTGGACCACATGGGAAGCCACAGCACTCGCAAAACTCCCCCCCGCCTGTCCCCCCCTTTGCCCTACCCTGAGAACATCCCACTCAATCACATCCCTCTGACACACTCAGCCACAGCAAGCCATTCAAATGGCTCCACAGCTCCCAGGACCGCACCGGCCATTCCCACAGCCTGCTCCAGAGAAACGCCCTCCGCTCAGGCCCGGGTCATTCTCGCAGCTTTCAGAGGGCCTGTTCTCAGAAGTATAGCAAGCGCTCATGGTTTTACATAGCATATCATCGCTGTCATATCAACACCTTTTTTAGTTTTGATTTTTGTTTTGTTTTTGCATCATTAGAAAATGCCAGCTACAGCCATTTATTTACATTGTGTGCATATTTCAGGATGAATGGACCAACAGAAATGGCTCAAAATGAATTATTTGGGATGGAATTGCATTGTATTAACTTACATTGAAAGCCAAACTGTAATTTTATGAGCAAATATCTAAATTAGACCAACATTAGCCACCTAAATCATGCACATCAGTGCACTTCATAGCCCTAATGAACATATATTATATAAACTTAAATCTAGAAACACTGTTGATATGCATCTCTTGAATAGTTGACTGTATTAACTGACAGCAGCTTGTTAATATTTCAGAAATAGCAAGTTTTTCCTTAAGACAGTGACTGAAGTTGTAAGTTGGATCCAGCCCTGTTTACATTTTACCAAAAAAAAACAGCAATAAATCTCTTTTTGCTGTTTATAATAATACAGATTAACCCCATAAAACCTTATTACTCAGGTATTAATCACAACACATCATTCAGCTATTCTAACTTTTATAACAACTTATTCACTATTATAAAATCAATCTATAAGTTACGTAGTTATGAGAGTGAGTAACTAGAGTGTGTGCCCAGAGGCAAAGCTTTAAGGGTTTGAAGGGTTAAGAAAACCAAGAGGAAACATACAGTAGAAAGAGGACCAGCACATAGAATGTCCATCTCTCTCTCTCTCTCTCTCTCTCTCTTTTGCCTGGCCAAATTCCTCCACTTTGCCCAAGACACCCAGTCAATTAATAAGACATCGTCTCCTCCCCTCTGCAGAGCCCCTGCACAAGAGGCCACCCAGGAGCCAGGGGGACCTCACTAAAGCAGCTCCTATGGTGGGCCGCTGGAATGCTTAGCGCTTTGGGAACGGGAACAGGGAGAGAGAAGAATAGAAAAAGCCCCATCATCGTACGGCAGGGCGGCTGGTAAAAAACTGGAGCGCAACAATAGCAAATGTGGCCCAGTGCAGAATTCCACAGTTTCCCGCCTCAGCCCCAAATTCTAACTCTAAGCCCCTTCACCAGTGGTCTCAGAAAAAAACTACATATTTATCATCAAATTACAGTTCATTTTAAGATTATACCCAAAGAGGAGGCGATTAGACATCATAGTTTGCAAGACTTAATTTTTAATGCGCCATGATGGACAGTAGAAAACCTATTTTGCTTTATTGATGATCTTTGTCAATTTATTCTGTAAAAAGGGGAAAATATAATATATTTAATGAAACTGCAGCAGTGCGAGAAGAAATCATAATTGTATGAATATTTCATGACCAAAAAAGTAAAAGGCAAATGGTGGACAACTGTTCAATATAATAGTTTCTGCTTTATTGTTTTAATATTTTTATTACTTTATTGTTTCAATATTTGTAATATTTTCATGCAGTTAATTGAATAAAATTTGACTGCATAATCAAACAGTATGTATATTCCAAATACATATGGTCCAATGCAAACATTTGGGTGCCCGTTGTCAATTACACATGCTCTTGATTTTATAAGTGAAAATAAGTTAACACATCCTCTACATGTTAAATTTAGCAAATAAATATAAATTGTACACTAGAATTTGTAGAAGTGCCATATTTAAGTGTGTTCTCTGTAGATGTGTTATTTTCACTTAGAAAATCAGTGAGACATAATTTAACGGGAGTAGGGAGGTGTTGCCAAACTTATGCATTTAATTGAAATATGTATAACACACATGCTTTTGAATCTCAATAATATGTCCAAATATCGTTGCTGTCCAAAAAAATGTATCTCTATTTTTGATGATTTTTATTTTTCTACATCATTTCAATACACCATTTCATGAAGAATGGACCAATAGAAATGCTCTAAAATCACTTGAAATAAAAACCTCTCAACACTAAGGTACATTCAAAGATAAGAGCGTTTTTGTCCTCTCCTGTAAAGTTACTATTTTGGAGATAGTTGTTTCTCTTTGGACAGTGATGATATGCAAAAGCCTCTGATGCTGAATTTACAAAGGTTTCTAAAATACAAAAACAAAAGAAACATTTTGTTAACTGTGTACAAAAGGTTAGTTTAAACCAGGGGTGCCCAACCTTTTGGTCTTGGGGAGCGGAAGTGCACTGTTTGTGGTAGGCCAGAGGCCAAAAAGACAAAACAATGCACAATTAAAGAAGGTAGGAAAGATTCAAATTGAGTTCTTAAAAATGTATTTTATACCTCTATACTCTCTATTACTCTATCACACTATATTTTGCTACTAAAATACTTTAAAAATTAGATGTTATAAATAGTATAAAAATACGTTTATTCTCTCGTTGGGTGAGGGGGTGGGGTAAGGGGAACTTTTCGGTGGACCAAACCAATCATGGTCACAATGCAGCCCTGGTCTAAACCAACACTGCTGATCAAAAAAACAAGTCTGAGAGGCCAGTGAATGACAGAAGGAATAAGCAGAGACATACTCTTGTGAACTTAGAATTTTTATTACATTTGACGACTGGTAACATAGGTTTTGTTCCATAGGTATTCAAAACTTTAAAGCCCTTTATTCTTTTCATAAACACCTCAAACATGTGAACCACAAAACAAGCGAAAAAACACCTGCTAACAAGACTAGTGAACAAATGGAGTGTGTTCTCTCGTGATCAATCCGAGTTGATTCAACTCATCGGAGTTTTGAACACTCATGCCTAGAAAAATCAAATTTGAATCTCAAGTTTCCAAACGTACGATATACTTTGACAAGATTATGATCCTCATTTTTAAAACATTAAAGTTCTCTACCTCATATGTGTTCTCATATTTTGGGAAACACTGTTTAGAGAGGAAACAGTAGGACACATAAAGGAGGTTGAGATGTTACTATGTAATTAGTATATATATGGCTTAGCATTTACAAAATATATACAGCATCAAGACCCACCATAAATATCTTCTTATTTTGGTTCTTTTTTTTTAAATATAATTTTATATTCATCTAAGAATCTGATAACTCACTTTAAATAAGTTTAAAAGAACGATACGTCTAGCCCAGCTAGATAATGAATATAATTACATGATAAAATTGAACTTTCCAAGGTTAGAACTCCCTTTTTTCTGTGCAGAACAGCTGATGTTGCACAGTGAGCACTGGTGAATGATCTAGGACACAGGAAAGCCTTCTCCTATTCAAGTAGGTCGAGTTGAAATGTCCCTCATAGCAAGCTATCCACTGAATTCTATGTAAACACTGCCCCTTGGTGGCAGTTCTTGATTGCACAATTGGCTGTAGAATAGCCTCAGATCCCTTTGAATACTTTTCCCTTTGCATCCACTACCTTAATGGTGTACATCTGATAAACATTACCATTTAAAAATTTGGAATCAATGTTTTATGCAATGTAAAACAAATTTGGAAGCACACAAGTGTATACATTGATTCTAATAAGACTGAATGAAGCTGTGAATAAAAAATGAAAACTTGTTAGATGTGTCCAGAATGAAGAACAGAGCTGTAGAAGGCTCTAAAATGACTCTGAAAGCTGTAGAGCATGGCAGCCCAAAATTTGCCCCTGAGGACGTTTGATTTTGCCCAACAGAAGGTTACTCTAACCCACCCCCCTCACGCCTTTAGAGAACACATTTTACTTATTTAATTCATATCTTCTTTTTATAAAAACTCTTGCAGAAATATACAAATACCTTCTTATTTGTATATTCTGTTTTTTTGGCCCTCAGCCCACCATAAATATTTCACTTTGGCCCCTATGCTAAAAAAATGGGCAGTCCTGCTGTACAGCTTTGAGAATTAAGTTACAATAAAATTAATGGTAACACTTTATTTGGAGTGGTTCTTTGTAGATGATTAATAAACTCTTAACAGATTATCAGTAGCACATCAACAACATATTAGTGAAGTAGCAGTAGTGAAACATCTGAATACATTGAAGTAAATATCTTGTAGATGTGTTGTTTATAAATTACTTACATTAAGTAGATGTATTGTTAATATGTTACATGCATTATGCAAAACCTAACCTTACCCAACCTTACCCAAAACCTAACCCTAACCTTGGCCCTAATCCGAACCCTAACCTTAACCTCAACCCAAAACTTAATTCTAACCCTCATATGTTTTTGACATGTTACTGAGAGTCTGTTGAGTGTTTGTTTCAACTAAGAAGGACCACTCAAAATAAAGTGTCACCAAAATAACATCCAGAATTCAATAATGTTTGTCATTTATTCGCTTGTCTTTCCTGAAATAATAAATCAAACATCTAAACATACTTTTTGGTGAATAGTTTGTAGTATTGAAATCAGTATATGTTTTTATTGTATATAAAACAACAAAAATTTTTAATATGGTAAGTGATTCCAAATTTCTAAATGGGAATAAAGCAAAGAAGAAAGGCAAAATAAAAAGATGAAGAACATAACTTCAATCTCAGACTTCGATAATCTGCTAAAAGAGAGGTCAAAGGGTTCACCTCAAGCAAATTAGATATGCCATTTGTTTTGTTATGCCAAGAATACACGTGTAGCTAGTGAATGCAGACTGTGAGTGTGTTTGAGTCACCTCTTTGGCTTTCAACCTGTACGGAGGTCACAGTGATGTGAAATTTTCATGCTAGTTATTCATTATAGATATGCTGAGCCATTCTTATGACATTTAAACACTCAGAAGTACAGTGATGTGTGTGTCAATATAAACCAGCGCGGTCCAGCAGTGACCGCTGGACACTTCTGCCAGAGGGAAGCACAATTTTTCTCAATTTCAATATAAATTAGTTCTGACCTGATGTCAAACAGAAGGTTTTGAAAGACGTGATAATACAGAACAGAGGTTTAAAGCTTGTTTTTGTTGTATGAAGCTGAGGATTTGCATCAAGCTTCAGTGCTACAGATCAAAGCTTTGGCAAGCAAAATAAAAAATCAAATAAATGGATAAAATATGTATAAAATGAAATTCCATAAATGATTTTTTTCTTTCACATTGAGAGGAGACACTAGCCCACCTGGGGCTACGGCGTCTTCCAACACTGGAGAGAAACACAGAAGGCTTTTCAAAAGAAATGCAAACACAACCTCCAGAGTTCAGAGACAAGATTACACAGTGTGGGAGTGTAGGCAGCTTATGTAGCTGGATAAAACTCATATCACCTAAAGTCTGGACTTTTTCCTATTTTTGAAACAATCAACTGCCCTTCTTAAAAAGCTTGATTTCCCACACAGAAGCACATAAGCACATCAACCATTTTTTACTGAGAATAATTGCTCAGCAATGTTGCTTACTCACTATTATAAAAAAGGGAAGGTACTGCAAGACCAGCTCAATGTCCCATCCATGGCCTTTGGAAGTGCATGAGAGGTAAATTTTTGTTCCCTAGCCACTTTTAAAAAATGACTCATCACTTAAAACCACCTTTTTAGGCCACACTGAAAAAAGGAATGTGTTGAATTTACTTGATACATCCAGGGCTGTCACGATTAATCATTTAAAATCAATTCAAATTGATTGAAAAAACTCAATTAGAAATATTAATCTATTGAAATATACAATTTTAATAAATTGGCTTAGTAGTTACTTTGCCATTTGAGTGATAAGAAGGGTATCCACAGGTCACTGTAAAGCTGTGTTCAGCAGTCTGAACGTTAGCTGTCAAATCGCTTTTGTGCTAATCATTGAAATAGAGTAAAGCCACACCAGCAGGATCGCATTAATACAACTTTGTAGTCACAAATTTCACATATATGAAGCAAAAATAAATGTCTACTGTTATAAATTGCATGTATATTACTGGATCACTAATGTAGCCTATAGTGACAGTCCTAGATTCATCATTTCCACATGGATAAAATAAATCAACACTATTGTTGCCAAATGTAAGCAAACTGAAAAACAAAATTATGTTGATGTAATATATTTTATTCATTGGGGAATGATGCACACATTTGTATTTTGTAAAGTCACACATTTTTTTCAGTCTTCCTTTATCCAACATAATATGCATTGTATGCATTCCATAATGCAACAAACCGTACCACAACACCACAACAATAAAAAACAAGCATACTAGAGCCACATTCTCTCTAAAAAACAGGCTAAACAGGCTGCAATGTGCAGGACTGAACGCCTGAGAGCTATGTTGACGCTCTCTCTGCCCACATCATCATGGAGCATCACTCCACCTCCGCGGGTAGATGAAAGAGTGAGCTGGCAGGGCTGACCGCTGCCAGCGCAGAAGAGATACGTACTCACACTGGAACCTCTGCTACAATAGCAGGAAAAAAGGGCCACACAATTAACCAAGCTCCTGAGAGCATTAAAGTAGGCCAACAATAACTCGTGATGAAGGAGTGCTCAGATCAAAGAGAACGAGCTCTTTTCAAGGGCACGCAGTTACGTTATGTGTTCTCTCTACCTCAGCAAACGGTAAATGGTACCCACTAGACTATACATGAAACCCTCACGCAGCCAGCCAAACCTAAAGCTCATGGCACCGGCGGACTCCAAACAGAAGTGTTTTACAGATGAATGAAACAGTAGAACAGAGTGCTGACCTCACAGTCTGTAAGAGAGGCACAGGCCCTGACATCAAGTCCAAACAGCTCCGGCACATCTTCATCAAAGACAAGCTCTCACAAGGGTGGACAATATGCAAAAAAATAATATTGTCATACACACTTTCACTATACATGATATATACCATAATGTTTCTGAGATTTGTGATTTATTATATTACATTTATAGATGCCTTTGTAAAAGACAGTGACTAAAAAAACTGACTAAATTGATTTTTTTTTTTTGCAAAAATAAACTTATTAAGAAGGAACAGGAGGGAAAATCAAAAATTGCTAACATAAATTAATAAAATAAAATAATGCTATACAATGGGCTGACATCTGATCCCCTACTTGTTACTATGCAGTTACTAAACACTGGTTGCTTTTGTTGTTGCATACCGGCTCTCTGTAAATGAACTATCCATGCTCTGCCAACAAATGCGTTCTTTCATAACCAGAATGGACAAGCTTTACAGGATGCTGGCATCCCATTCAATTTAATGAGAAAATGTAGCACATTTCGTTTCTAGTTTCCAGTTTAAATGCTATGCTTTTCAGCACATGTGCCTACTTGGACCGTGTTGTTGTAAGTTACCAGTGTAACCTTTCATGGGCATACAAAATAAATATCATTTGAAAATAACACACTTTGAATAGCTGAGCTGGTCTACATAGTAGACCATAGTTTTTTTTTATAACATGCAGTTATTAACTAGAAGTATTTCTCAAGTACTGTTGACATCCAAGACATGCTCAAAAAAGCACCTTGTAATCTATCATGATTAGCAAAGGCACAAGACCACTTTTTTGTTTTCCAATACCAATACTGATGTGCTTGAGCATTGGCCGAACTAATCCGATGTTTCTTTTTTAAAAACTAAAATGAGCTATTTTTAATTGAAGTACTTCAATTAAAACCAGTATCTAAAAGTGGGCTATCATGCTAGACTAATCTAATTCTCTACTACCTCACAAAGTAAGAAATACTCACAGTGTGAGTGTGGCTACTTCAGGGTAAGATCAGATTGATTTGGATCAGATTCACTCTTTTTTCCTCTCTAATATCCGATCCAGCATTTTCTGCACATATCGGACCAATAGTGATAATATATTACCATTTTGTCCACAACATGAAATCAAACAATGTGAGTTATTTCAAGCTAGAACTGTTAGAAGACGGGATTGAATTAATTCCTTTTCCCCTCTGATATCCGATTCAGTATTTACTTTTGATTTCGGCTCGATACTGATACCTGCTGTTGTATCTGTGCCATCTCTAAGCACAATGACAACAAACATGACCATGCAACGTGAGCTATTTCAGGCTAGATTTGTTACATTATTGGACTGGACTCAATTTTTTTTCCCCTTCAATATCTGATCCACCTGGTATCTGATCAGTGCCATCTCTACACACAATAACAATAACATATTGTCATATTGCCCACCCTTATCTCAGCTTATTTCTAATCCTAAAAACCTTGACTGCTCTTCACTCTATGTTCCCATGTAGTTCATCTCTGTGTCCTTTGCAGTGGGAGAACAAGCTGGGCTGCTTAATGTCCCCGAGGACAAACAGGACCGCAGCAAAGCAACTAATAAAGCCTCCACTCCCTGAGGAGGGTTCAATGTAGGACGCGCACACACACACACACACACACACACACACCCACACACCCACACACACTCTTTCTCTCTTCTCTTCTATTAATACACCAAAAACAGAAAGAGTGGAGCAGTAATGATGGAGCTCCAGGGGAGTGGCACAGAGTGGCAATGGAGTAGAGCTGAACAAGCCTAACAGAGAAACTCTCTGCGACACTGTAGTGAGCTGCATTATGGATGTTCTTATTGCTGTTGCAATGTCATATAAGCAGGAGCACCAGTGCTGTCATGCATGAACATTTGTACGTGCAACGTGTGTGTATCTGTGGCAGACTCTAGACGAGCCTTCCTTATTTAAGCTTGTGGATGTCATGGCTTTCTTCAGTGCACAGACAGAAGAACTGTTTAACCCCTTAAACTGCAGGCTTATTATTCAGTTGTTAACATTAAGATTTATTATTCAGTAACAACTATAAATCATTAGGTAAGTACCTAATGTAGCTAATATACAGGTTGTATAGTTATTAGGGTACCTCCCGTACAGGCCCTTTAGTTTAAGGGGTTGAACCACTGAAGGTCCTACTGTAGGATGGTGTTAACATGCTGGCTGGTCAGCTTTAAAGAGCCTTCATGAGGCATGATATTTTTTGCTCACTCGTTTATAATGCATAATGGCCCTTGCAGATAGGCTATTCATAAAAGTTAATGCTGAAGGAAGGAAAGTGGCTGTTTTTGCATAGCAAGTCAACAACGTTAATGAGTTTAGTGCCTTCGGTTATCAGTGGGAAGCCTTTGTAGTGCTTGCAAGAGTAGAATGTGCTTGTACTGTGCCAAGCATTTTATAATAAGGAGAATCCTTTAAGGTGATTGCATGCTGGTGTGCTGTCAACAATTCAACACGATAGGGGAAAAAACTCAGGATGCAAAGAGGAAGAAGATGCAAACTTAGTTCAATTACCACCAATCCTGCTTTGAGCATGGGAGGTAGAGAGAAGTGCTCTGCGATTGATACAGGTCATGTAATATGTAGAGGCAACCAGCCATGCATATGAGCCCTGATCACATGGTGAAGCTATCTTTTGTTCTACACAGTACTCTGAACACCACTCTGCTAGTTTATTACTTAGAAAATGGCACATTGATGATAGTTACTTTTCTCAGTTCTATAATACAATACTTGGCTCATATAACTTTAAAGGTACCTTAGATTTATGTTTAACTCAGCAGTCACATTGACTTGCTGCTCGATTTGATATTGTAAAATGAGGCAATATCCACTTTCAACCTGACCAGAGTAAAAAAAAAATAAATTCTCAGTCTAGAAATATCTAATAGTCTATAAGCCTCCATAGAACATTGTTTTCTGACTGCTGCAATATCTTATTCACGTCACCATAACTGCTGCCAATGTAGGGACCTCCAGATCTGGTCCAAAGGATCCTGAGCCAATCCAAGCATGTGTTATTTGTTAAAATATAGTTAGAGATCTACATGTGTGCAGTGTTTAACTATTTTACAGTTAACTAATCATATTTGACGTTCTAAACACTGACACATAAACTGTGAGCAAGCATTTATTATTCTTCCAGTCTACTTTCTGTCAATACCATTAGTGGTATTCCACTAGAAGCAAGTAAAAAAATAAATCCCTGCCACGTTTTTCACTCAAGAGTCGCACCTGGTTAAAAACGAAACTATCACGGAAACACTATTCAACTTCAGCACAAATAGGCGGAGTTAAACCGCTGTAGACTTGACTGAAAATTTTGTCTTCCACGATTTGGCCACTTTTAAGTGGCGTTAGCAGTTAGCAGTTAGTAGTTGGAGCGGTATTGGCCAATATATAGCAATAAAGTACTTGGATTGGATGGATTGGAGGCAAAAAGAACTAGACTGGGACATCCCTACATCTGGTTAAAACGTTTTCTTGTACCTTTAAAGCAGGTTGTTAAACACTTATTCTTTATTCTGGCTGCCAAAAAGCAGAGCCTCAATCCTCACCAGTCAATTAAAAACTCCAGCCATAGCAAACAACTTGCTAGAGACAATCCACAGCTGGAGTTGGAATGAAGAAAAAATGTTTGACTGATTGCATCTTCTCAACACTATTTTGCCCTTATCTAGCACTGTGTGCTGTCATACAGTGGCTGTCCTTACATGTGTTTTTCCTTCTGCATTTTTTTAGAATAAGTTTCAAGTACAAAATAACCCTCTTTACTCAAAAATAACGCCTCTACTTTAACTGCTTAAAATGACAAATTACAACTTCGAAACAGGCTGTTATCTGGCCTTCCTTGTCAAGGGTAGAAAAAAAAGATTTGTTTGAATTCACTCAAACAAATCACTGCTACTTCACCGTTAAACTCGGTATGGAAGAAGCTTCAGACTTAACAGGCCTGCACGAAATCAAGCAAAAGCTACAGTACCACGTAGTTCTGACCTGCACAGTGGTCAGTGAGAACAGACTTCACAAGTATTTTCACAAGGACATCTTCTGACTGGGACAGTCTGATATAAGAATAATAACTTAACATATAAACAATAAAGCTCAGTATATAAACTTCTTCTTATATGTTCTATGTTCTTTTAGAATAAATACTCTTTCTTCATTAATTTTTTTTCTTTTTTTTCTTTTGGCTTAGCCTGAAGTGGCAGGACAGCGCAAGTAACTGGACCCTTCAATACAGTTAGGGGGTGGTCTCATGCTTTTGGAGTGAAACTCCGTGTGTGAGATACAGCAGATGCTGGAGGCCTGGTCATTTTGGGTCAGGAGCGTGGGACTAGGCCTGGTCCAAGCCAGCGATCAAAGCCTTTCTCAGACTCTCCCACGCTGCTGGGCCCTGCGTTACTCATCTATTGCTAGCCAAGGGCTTGAGAGGGGCGGGACTTTGGCTGGGGCTTCTGTACCCCCGCATGCTTGGTACAGAAGAGTGCGCTAGGGCCATGTGTGACAGAGGAAAGCCCAAGAGACAGACAGAGGGTGTGACGGGTGTTTTTTATGCATGTCTCACTCAGAGAAAGTGAAGGCAGACTGGGGCTGGCTCTGGGAAGGCTCGTCGTCATCAGGCCCCAGCGTGAGGGGAGTGCTGATGGACGGCTGTGGCATGGTGGCCATCTGTCCACCTGGCGGCGTCTTCTCCTGAGACTGTGAGGAAGAAGTGGATGAGTGTGTGCTCTCACTGGAGCTGCTGCGCGTCTCTGTGCTGGTGCTGGTCTTTTTCATCTTCCTGCGCTTAGCCAGGGGAGCTTTATCCACCGTCTGCAGTCGGAAGCCCTCCCGCTTACACTTGTTGAAGGCCTGTGGAGGACAGCACACTGCTTCACAAAACAGCCTTATATATTATTATAATTAGTGCATGGTATAATGACTTTCTGGTTGAACAATTACACTTCAGCCCTTATAAGTCTACAATTTATTAAAGTAATTTTGCAAAACTATTTAAATGTAATAATTACGTAATTAGTTACATGAGCACTATCTGAACTACATTAGTTTTACATGGGGAGGTGCTGTATTTTAAGTGACCATCAACAAGAATCTTAATGTCTGTAGTTTTTACAAGTATGCTAAGCACTTGTAAAAGTTAAGCTAAATATGCTTAGTTACATAAGGAACTACATTTACATTCAATTAATACTCTGCGTTGACAAATTTGAATCTGAATTTTTCAGATTTTTTACATTTGTTTCAGTGCCAAATAAAATAATGTGAAACAAGACTATATGCATAAGGCTGTTTTTCCTTTTTTCTCTCTCACACAAAACAGCTTAATCTCCTTAAACTGCAGCAAATGCCCATATGGACCCACACTTCAGTTCCCAATTTGCATCGAGTTTCATAACAGTCACCAAATAATCCTAGAGGTTACTGAGTTTTAAACTTAATAACTCAATATTAAGTTGACAGTTCAGTGGTGGTTAATTAAACAACTTTGCATAACTTTGCACAACCCTCTTTCTCCCCTCTCTCTCCCTCCCTTCATGTATTTCTCCTTCTACCCATTGCTTGCTCTCACATTGAAGGTGGCTTTGACGCAGGTGTGTACAGAGGCAGTGGACAGGCCCAGGATGTCCGGGGTCATGAGGGGGTTGGAGGAGAGCTGACTGTCGTCCTGCAGCCAGGCATTGTAGCGCAGCTCACACATCTTTATCCGCTTATTAGGGTCCACAGTCAGGAGCTCTGTTGCACAAACAGACATTTACTTCTTAGGAACATACACCAGCTCCACTTACAGACACACTAATTGCTCCCACTATACTCTGTTTATAACTGATTGTAGTAATAATTAATAAAATATAGTACTGTGCAAAGATCAGAGACCATCCATCATTCATTTATTTTCAGTAAAATGGACATTATGTACAAGTTATTCATTTTTCAGCATCAGAAAAAAAGGACAAACATTTTGTGCTTCTCATGATCCAAGCAATCCCAAATCCATTTAATGATGTTAAGGTCTGGACTCTGGAGTGGTCAATCCATTGTTGAGAGACCAGCAGCTTTTATGTTTGATTTGCACATTTTTGTCTATTTCCTTTTCTTAGTAACTGCTTCTTGACAACTACTCACTCTTCTCACAGAAACATCTGTGTTTTTTATTTTTTAGATCTGAAGCAAGAGTGGAGCTTGACTTTCTCAAAAGTGGAGTTTGATGAAAGCTTTAAGTGCTGTTTATCTGATGGTGACAGGTTTGGTGGTCTATCAGGTCTTGCATGGTTGTTATTCCCTATTAAATTATCTTTTAATCAATTCTGAACTTCAGTTTTGGAAACTCCTGTTTTTTCAGACAGATTATCTCATATTTAATCTTCTCAGAAATATCACCTGAAAAATGAATAACTTGTACTTAATGGCCATTTTTACTGGAAATTAAATAAATGAAGGGAGATCTCTGACTTTTCCACTGTACTGTATGTGCTCAGTTTTTCACCAAAACAAAATTCTTAGGATATTTGCCAAATAGCTCGTGTTATTTGTATTCCACTACTGTCTAAATTAAAATCTGTGTATTTATAAAATGAATTGTGAAGCAAAAAAATCATAATCAAATCCAATAAAAGCACCAAATTAATTCCTAAAGCACAGTAACTGAACCAACTCGTAACTATGTCACTCTCACCTTGAATTAGCTCCTTGGCCTGTTGGGATACGTTCCTCCAGGCTTCTCCCTGGAACGAGAAATCTCCCTGTTTGATCTTCTTCATGATCTCTTCTGCACTGGTGTGGGTCAGACTCTTCTCCTGACACTGAAAGGGCACCTGCCCAGACAGCATAGTGTACTGCAACACAATCACACAGCACGCAAAAAGCCATGTGATCACAAAATGATCCTTTGATCTGGCAATGAGCAAATCTATCATGTAGCTGCACTAGTTTACAAACAAACTGGATATGGAACATTCTGAGATGCTGTTATACTGTTTAAAAATACCCAGAAAAAAATAAACAGAAGCAGCAATAGAGATCCATTATAAGTGAAAAAAGAAATATGTGACTGATTCAAAGAATGCCATTACTTATTACCGACTAAAGTTTTTCTAAAACTAAATTTCACTTCCTTTAGTTTTTTGGCTTCCTTCTTTTCATGCTTTCGCTCAGAGAGATAGAGAATCAGCTACTCGACTGTCCATGCATACACTCTCTCTTGCATTCAGTGCTGCGGGGCCTCTCTTGACTTGTCTGAGAGTATCTCATCAGTACTGCCCAATGCACTACCCCACTCAGCCCCCAGGGGGCTGCAGCAAGGGTTAACAGTTCCACAGACATGCACATACAGAGAGACAAGCAAGATAGAGACAGAGCAAGAGAAAGAGAGCTCTCGTGCTCAGTGGAAGGCAGTTGAACTGGACTAATATTTCAGCTGAAGGGAAGCCACCATAACTCACATCAAAACCACTATCAGTATCTGAACCTCTCTTCTTATCTTCATGTAGCGCAGTTTGCTTTAACAGCACATAGAACGCAGCCACAGTATAGAGTATTAGGAGAGCCTTCACATACATGAATATTAAAATCTACATAACATGGATAATCTGCTCATAAAAAGATTCCACACTCCAGATCAGTGCAGATGTGAATTCAGTTACTGCACCTTATATAACCACATGACGTCTGTATGGACCTTTTTAAATAGCTGTAGATTGTTGTTACTAACTTACACTGTAACATTAGAAGTTTCATTCATTTTTTAGTATAATTTATTTAAACCGCATACTGTATATGTTAACTGTATATATTGTTGTAAAATCACAAAACCAGTGGACTCTCAAAACTAAAAAAGTACACCAAAATTAAATTAGGTTTGCCAAGCTAAAAACAATAAAATTCAGACAGAGCTATTTTAGCCTACATCACATTCAAGAACATTCCCTTTACATTCCTAAACTACCTCATAATTATTAGGCAAAAGCCAAAAGATTATTTCTGTCTCAGACTACTATTCCCTCATGTTTCATGGGAAGATGATTTCTCACTATAGCAGTGGGACTTCGATGGGCCCGAAGTTTAACATTAACGAGTGCGCGAATACACGGACAAAGTGAAACGCTAACCTGGGACAGCAGTGTTGAAAATCACTTGTCTTGTCGGGAAAGCTGACCTTTTGATGCTTTCTGGGACAATCAATTCAGTGGACAATGCAGTTAATATTGACTTCTTTCACTTTTATATGCAAACATCACCTCACTACAGCAAAAATGGTTTGATCTACGAATCTAGCTTCCAATTAAATTTAACCAATTGTTTATTGAAGCGTGAGGCATCAATAATAATAATAATAATAATAATAATAATGCCTTTTATTTCAAGAATAAATTGTGGTAACTTATTTTCACTTAGAAAATCAACAGAACATGTAATTGACCAGGGGCACCCAAACTTTTAATTAGAACATCATGTGTGAAAACCACTACCTCCTCACCACGCAATAGCTGCAGACCAAATAGTAATGTGAGGCATGTGAGTACTTGAGTATGCATGTGCCCGTGCCCATCCCTAATAATACAAGCTCACTGCTTACATTCCTGCCAACAACTGGCCACAAGGTCATAATGCAAATGTGCCAGTGTCCCCTGCGCAAACATACAAGCACACTCTTACCAGTATGACCCCTAGACTCCAGAGATCACAGGACTCATCGTAGCCATCATAGGTGAGGATCTCCGGAGCAGCGTACTGTAGGGTGAAGCAGGGTGTCTTCAGAAGCTGATTGTCAGGTGGTTTGAGTCGAGCAAAGCCAAAATCAATGATTTTGATCTCTGAGTTCTCGCTCTCGTCAGTGAACAGCAGGTTCTGAGGAAATATTAGGGAGATTAAATGCCAACTTCAACGCACAACAGTCAAACCATTAACATCACCTGAATATGACAGGTATTCAAATATATGGATATCCATATTCATCTTAATACTCATTTATTTGCTCAAACATTTGAATAAGGCATGCGTAGTTTGGAATGAAATGTTGAATATAATTTAAGTTCTCTTGAAGGCTAATTTTAATTACTTTTTCTCATTGAGCCTGTAAGGTAAAACTGTGGTCTACGTCGGGACACAAACAGCTGAGTTTGTGTCTTACGTTAAGAGAAACAGTGAATTCTAAGCAGAGCTATACAGAAATATTTTAAACGTAACAGTGACAAATTTGTACAGTTTATGTTGTGCAAGTTCTGTACAACAGTTAGTGGTGTATTAGGTCACAAACACCTAAAACACAAAGATAAATTACTAAAACAACAGAATGATCTGGTACAGATCACCTCTCATGACAGCAGCATGCAACAGACTAATGTTAAAGGGAAATTCCACTGATTTTTCAAAAACTGTTCATAAAGCAATTGTTACTCAGAGTCATTCAGAGTGGTTTGATGTGAAATACTCCATTCTAGAGAAACTTTGTCAGAATTGTTCACAGTAGGAACCAGATATCTGATGTGTTTAATGAGTGTGAAAGCAACATCACAGAAAGTTATTACAGGAAATTGTTACTAATACACTTCCTGATGTATGAGACACTGTTTTCCTATTGTTTTGAGATAAGCTTTTGACCTATAGCACATATATACATTTTTAATCTATCCATGGCGGAGAACTACATGGCAAAATAGCACCATAAGAAAACAATTTTCTCCCCTATTTTATCACTATTTTATTATTATCAATATTATTTATAAAAATTCAGATGTGTATGTTCACTAATAGACTGGCTGAATGACACTGTCTACATTTCAACGATTGAATTACACAGATATTTTGCAATATTGGTTTCTTTTTGTTTCTGTTTTTTGTTTTTTTATTGAGAACAACATGAAGTATTTTCTTGTTTGAATATTCAAATTCTATTCATGTATAAATGTGGATATTTGAATAACAAAAACTGTTATACAACAACACCTCCCATTTGCCACCAGAATAAGAACATAAGTAAGACTAAGTGAATATATTCAATTCACAAAAGCTACATTAACACATTTGATCTGGAGACTATTGAAACCACAGGTGTACACTTGTTACACCATGTAGGCGTTCATTTAATGTGGATGACCTTTGCTGTATAAACTTCGCCTTTAGGACATACACACCCTCACAAAACATTCACAAACACTTATCAGCAACCACACAAACACACTCTGCCAAGATACTGTCATAAGAAGACTAATGTCATGACATCATCTATATTCAGCTCATAAAAAAACAGCACCCATTATTTGTTCAGTTGTTAAACAGGTTCTTCAGTGCCTCAAAGGAGAGGCATGTGTGAGGATGGAGCTCAGAGTTAAAGCAATAGTCTGGTGAAAAAGTCAAATGTAAACAATTGGTGCGTGAAATTTGTTTGTATGCCATACTGTTGTTTGAACAACATGAAATAGACAAAAGTACAGTGCATTCCTAAAAAAGTAGTGGCAGCCATCTTAACATCTGAATTTTGTCAGGACTTTTGTCTATTTTTATAGATAACAGCATTACTAAGCTTGGTGGAGTATAAGTTTGTTAAGAAAAGTTTCTATAGAAGCAAATATCACACACCAAACATGCCTTGGCTGAACGACTACGATGACTCCACACCTGCACTTTAAATTCTTTAAATGCTACTATTTGACACTTTTACCCCAATCTTCTGTACAGTTTACAGTTAAGATGGTTTGCACTGCTTCCTCCAGTCATATACTGCATTAAAGCTCATCCATATATGTGATGCCCATTTATATATAATGTTTTTTTTTGTCCTGTCTAGTCAGCATCATGTATATTTACTGTGTAGTGTATTTACTGGCCTGTGTGATAGTGTCCGCTGCACTCGCTTCACACTGCTGTGTATCTGCACTTTATGTGTTCCTGTGTAATGTGCTATTTTCAATGCATACAAATTATATAGACAAATAAAGACCACTTGACTTGATCTGACATTTGGGGTAAGTGAAAAACTGAATATTTAGATTTTTAGAAGAATCATCACTTTAACTGCACTGGCAGTGGAATATAGAGGTACCTCAGGTTTCAGGTCTCGGTGCACCACGCCCACATCGTGCATGTGGCTCACAGCGGACACCAGCCTGCGCATGATCCGACTTGCCTCCGTCTCACTGAAGTGCTGCTTCCTTCGGATCCGCTCCAGCAGCTCACCCCCTCGGAGCAGCTCCAGAACTAGATATGTATGCAGCTGCGCACACAAACAGACAAACATAATTGTGTGAGAGGAGAGGTAAACAAAAGTAAAGAAGCAGAAAAAATTTTCACTAGCCCAGGCATAGTGTATAGCAGCTAATACAAATGGTCCTTTCAGGAAGTGGATCTTGTACACAATTAAGCGACGAAACCAACCAGACTCGATGATAACAGGAAATGTAGCCTAGCAACGCTGTCAAGATAAGGATTCAATTGTAACTAATCAGTTTGCAAATTGTGAGTCATATTTTATTAGTGAAACAGATGATTACTTGTGCCTATTACTAAATAGTTTGACCCATTAAACAGTAATGCTGCGTTTACATGTTGGCAGTGGAAAAAAAACGTTGTTCTTTGCCTCACAGCTGTATGCGACCAATGGTGGCATGCAGCCATGGAAACGTTCTCATGGTGACAGCATTATCGGTGAAAATGGATGACTGTCAGAAGAGAGCTCTAGCAGTGTCGACTGAAGACGGCAACAAGGCATAATACTACTGGGTGTGCTCGGACTTCAACAACGAGACGTTCGCCATTCACAGCTGCCCTAAAAAATGTCAGCATCTGGTTTACTCCACCATGGTCGACGGTGAAAGTTGGGAAAACTGAACTCTTGACAGAACATTCCACTGACCGTTGTGGTATGTTTCCGTTGCTGCTGGCAATGGCAGTGGTGGAATTTTCCAGTCCTGCTCCACTAAAAACAATGGAATATCGAGTTTGCCGTCGACCGTCTACCATCATAATGTAAACGCAGCATAAGGGTCTGCACGTGGGGCTGCATCTAAATTTCTCACTCTCATAATGACATACATATTAGTTTAACAGTAGTTAATGAATTATTTATTGTAGTTGCTGAGTAATAAGCCTAAGGATTAATAACAAAATAAAAAGTTAGGAGTTTACGTGGTTAGAAAACACAGTGGTGAGAAGCTATGACTGCCAGGAAGTGTTGGACTGTGAATGTAGGGCAATGCTGAGGCGAGAGGATTCAAATACTTTCACTGTGCTCTACTTCCCCTGACTGAATGAGGCTGCAGCATGCCTAGAGCTGCTCTACAGCCTAATAGCCTATCTGTTTCTCTCACTCACATACGCACACCCAGCGCACAATACCTGGTCATGGTAGATCTCATGTAGCTTGACTATGTTGGGGTGTCCGTCACACAGTTTAAGAGCAGCTATCTCTTTCTGCGTTTGTGCCTCCATTCTTCAGAAAGAGAGAAAATATATGCAAGTTATTTTACATAAAAACTGTGCATTTATTAATGTACTGCTTTTAAAGTGAGATACAGAAGCACTGAACACCACATAGCCTACAGTATGCTAATGCACCGCAGAGATGCTGCAAATAGCTCCAGATATTCATTTTTACTCTGTACTGTATGGCATGCAATGTCACTTACATACATTTTATAATACAGTCCTAATATGGCAAAATATACAATATATTGAAAACAGTCAAGTTTATTTGATGCTTTAATTTCCACATGAATAAAACATAAACCACAAGAATATAACAAAAAATACACCAACACCATTTTGTCTTACAACATGACTAATTACTTTTGGCAATAATTGTGTTAACATTATTTTATTCATGTTGAAACTCAGTGCGTCCCTTTTTTTCTATGTAGTAAATTTATCATGAAGCACACTGTATGATGTGTTGCTTATTCTTATAAGACTCTCAAATTCATAATCTATGCACAAGACATCTAACACTAGGGATGCAAAATGATATTAGAATAATATCTGCAGAAATTTTTAAAAAGAAATTTACCCCAGAACAGTAGACTGTTTAGACGATGCTGAGCTTCTAAGTTAAAATGACTACATTTTATTCATTTTATTGCCTTCTAATCCAAGTTGATTTGATCCCAGTTTCTACAATTTATAAATATTTTATCAGTGTCAGTATTGGCATCAGCAAACATGTGGTGCATTAAAATGTGTGTTCTCTGTACAGGGTGTGTACTTATTTTTACTAAAATTAATGAACATGTAATTTAACCAGAGGCTTCCAAACTTATGCATACAACTGTATCTAATACTGTAAATACTGTGTGTGCATGCATGCTATAGGTGGTACCTTTTACTAACAATCTTCACTGCATATTTCTGTCCACTCTTCTTGTGTGTGCACTGCCTGCAAATAGAGAAGCTGCCCTCCCCCAGTGCTGTCTCCTTCAGGTCCATCTCATAGTTTATATAGAATGGGGAGTCCTGCATGAAACACAACACAAAACAGAGGACATGTTCACACAACACACGTAACACATTACATTTCCTAATTCTCAGAATTCCTTAAGATAATAGGAGATAGTGTGCTCTGTTACCTTCATCATGGCACTGCGTGCTACTGCAGCAGATCCAGGCCTGTCTACTCCACCACACAGCTGAATAGGGTCATCCATCACCACATTCCTCTTGAACAGGATGGAGGGAGCAATGAAAGAGTAGCCCTGCAGCAGCCAGCACAAATACACAAATACAAAGCCAAAGGTGAACATTTCATGTAGGCTAAGGAAAATATAGTAATCTGCAAAGGTCAGAGACCACTCTTCATTTATATACATTTTCAGCATCAAGAAAAAAGCAGAAAACATACTTAACAGACAATTACACAGAAGCCTTGACAACTAAATATAATTTAAACGTTTTCAGTATTTAGTGTGTCCACAGTTTGTCTTTATTCTTTTAGTAAGACTTGCTTCCAGCAAGAATGGAGCTCTCTCTTAAAGATGAAACATGTTCTTGAACTTCCATTTTTGGAAATTCCTATTTTCATTTGACTTACCCCTGCATTATGTAAGTGCATTATGTTATATCTGATCTTCTCAGAAATATCTCCTGAAAAATAAATAAGAAGTACTTTGTTGCCATTTTTGACTGGAAATTAAATAAATGAAGGGTGCTTTCTTACTTTTGCACAGTAATGTACAGCATTTCAACCCACCCTGCAACAATACTTGTTACAAGCCTATACGCAGACAAGCTTGCTACTACCTAGAGGTCATTCAGGTTGCCTCACAAGCAAGACTTAAACAACAGTTTTATGCACATTTTTAGCATACGGTAAACAATAAAACATGTCCAATAAACATGTTACACATCAGGGCTCTTTTTAAAAAGGTTATTTGTTTGGCCTGTGATCAGTAGACTTAATTGTATCCTGAAATCTTGCAAATAGCAAGTTTCATTGGCTACATTTAATATTGAATCCAGAAGCCAAGCAGGCATAACTTCTGAGGAACAGGCCTGTGGGATCTCTTTCTTTTCTCCTCCTCCACGCTGAGTGTTCAAGTCACAAAGTCACATTTGTTGTCCATCTGTGATAATTGCATCATCTGTGGCATTTAGCCTTGCTGTCGCTGCATAAAAGCCTCAGACAGCAGTGGCCCCCTCGCACACTCAGCCTGCAGCTGTGGGTGCCACATCGGGTGGAGGAGTGGATGGATGGACGGAAGGATGGAGGGATGAATGGGTGAAATGCTCTTAACTGCCAAGCCGCGCTGTTTGATTGCTCTGCTTTTCAAATCACACCACGGTCCTCTAATGCAACTTAATTTGGTTTTGTGAAGAGTTTTGGGGGCGGGGGGAGGGAAGAGGCAAAGGGGGGGGTGGGCGAGAGACGCGAGTTGAAAGTTATCACTGCAGACGCAATCGCCGCAACGCCTGCAAATTACGAAGGATCAAAATTCCACAGTACATGAAAGGGGAGCGTTTAGAAAAAAAAAGGCAAGCTGAAGTTGGTAATCAGAGGTTGAAGGAGTAATCGAGGCAGGCATGGTTATTCTAGCAGACGCAGACCTTTCACTGCATGACAGTGTCGTTAATGGAGCTATTGATCCTGCGGAGTGGAGGATCCAGAAGGCAATCATAGATGCGATCCCATTCAATGCCGCCGACATCAGCTGGCATCATGTTATAGGCAACATTACGGTTCAAGTCGCATCAAAAATAGTCATTCACATCTGATACTCAAATCCATCTCCACATCAGCATAATTACATGTCTCTAAACAGCCCTCCTGCTCATTTCAATACCAACACAGACTGCCAGGCTTACATTATTTACATGATCATTATAGAATGTCAAATACCGCTCTTTACTTTCCTCCAAAGGCAAATAGAGGGTCAACTCCAGAATCACACAAACTAACCTTATTAAGAATCCCATCTTGTGCAAAAATCAGTCCAAATCATAATCTATAAACGAGTTCAGCATTTAAAATCAAAACCCAACTATAGAATACAGCATGAAAAGATTTAAAAGAGATTAAAGAGATTAAATGAATGACAGCGAGAGCACATTTACATCTTTACTCTCTGACCCTCACCTTGAAGATACGGTCACAGTTCTGAGGCAGTGCGGCAGGGGAATAAGTGGGGTCCATCTCTGTGAACTCCTCTGCAAAATTACTCACATCCAGCTCATCCCGGATCACGGGCTTGAAGGGAGCAGGCACCTTCTTGGCAGCCAAATCCTCCCAGTTAATTTTCTGAATCAGACAAAAGTGTTTTTGTTCTGTTACTCCATGCTATTAGCACAAATAGCCTGGTAATGCTGTATTGTCCCGAGTCAAGAATCTCCACATTAACATTTCTAACAGGATTTTTCTTGCCTGGTAGAATGGATGGCTCTTAACATTCTGGGCCCCTGAGGGCCCAGATCCCAGCCTTTCCTTTGGGTCCTTAATAAGGAGTTGCTGAATGATGTCTTTGGCCAGAGGCCCCATGTCTTTGGGGTAAGGAGGATCCTTCTTCAAGATTCTCCTACGAGGTAAGAATAAGCAAGAAACCATCAAGTTTAGGACTGAAGCAAAATGACACTTTGTTACTTGTTTTTTTGCTCATGAATTCATGAACCAAAATGCTATGCAAATTATTCTAAGGGCATGCGTGCACTGAAATAGTATCAAGGATCAATAGTCGTTTGATCCCTGGTATGTCTGTGACCATTAAACATAGTCAGTTACAGGAAAAAGTGAAGTGTTTAATGTGACTGAAACACTTAAACTGGCTGTATTTTAACAAGGGCTGGCCTGAATACTTTGAAGACTTGAGTATTAAGACTCGCCTCAAAGCACAACAAACATTCTTAAAATGGAAGTATATTTGTTCCATAGACAGACAGATGACTAAAACACTTCAAATGTTACTGTTTTTAGGTGTGATTTTGACATCACTTGTTCAGAAATATCAACAAGTATTAAAAGCCTGTAAAATGCTGTTTGGCCCAGCCCTAATTTTCACACATAGTAAGCCCTGGTCTACTACAGTTTTTGAAAACGTATGAACATCCCTGATCAAAATACGTGTTTTGTTGATTTTCTAAGTGAAAATAATTTAACACATCCTCTATAGAGAACAAACTTAAACGAGCCATTTTTTTCTGCTAATTTAGTGCACAATTTCCATTTATTTGAGTTTAACATATTGGAAAAAATCAAACATAAAATATAAAATGTGCCATAACATTTGCACAGGTCACATTTTATATTTTATTTGTTTTTCCAAGATGTAAAATTCAGCACATAAACAATAACTGCGCATTAAAATATGCAGTGTGTTCTCTGTAGAGGATATTAGAGGATGTGCATTTATTTTCACTTCATCAACTTCATGTAATTCAACCAGGAGCGCCCAAACTTTTGCATTCGACCGTACAAAAATTATAGGAAATCACTGACATCAAAATCATGTAAGAATTTCTGTGTGTATTTACTTAGCTATGTCAGAGTGGGAGTTTTCATCTCCATCCACGGTGAAAGGAGAGCCGCCTGTCATGAGCTCGTACATCAGAACTCCAAGACTCCACCAGTCCACTGCCTATAACCGCAAAAGCACATGCTCACAGCATGGAGACGGCAGCTTTCTACCAAACACCTATAGAGCTTTCGTTCTTCACATTTCACTAACGTTTAATATAAACTGATAATGTTAACAAAAGCATTGTGCAATTATTTCTCAGTTGTCACTGAAATGAGCGGAGAATTTCTGCTGAAAAGTCGATTGACTTTCAGTGGATACCACATTTGTGTTAATAGAAGAGGAGATGTTTTGTAATGATTTCAATTTAATGCTGTGCATACAGTTTTGTTTTCCAGTACAAACAGAAGATTGGCAGAAGTGCAGACTTGGACCTTTTCAAACAGAACATGAATTTGAAAGTAAATGTAATTTATTATGTAACTAATGAAGTAATTAACTGTTTCATTACATTTCATTAATTATTTAAATTGAATGCAATGATAACACCAGACTCCAGAGTAACATAATGAAACCCACTGTCAACGACTGGAATATGTGGCAGTAGATAAAGCAGAAAAGGAATGTGAGATCTGAAAGACTGTACCTTGTCATGTCCAGATTCTCCTCCTTCTACAATCTCAGGGGCCATGTATTCTATTGTGCCACAGATAGAGTAAGCCCTCTCTACCTACAAAGGAAAGATAAAGGAAGTTTAGAGGGGGGAGACAGCTGCACGCACATGCTTCTCAATTTACACTACAGTTAAAACAAACAACCTAGACTGTACAGAAGAGTCATGCAGTCCAAATACACACAGCAAAACGAACACAAAAAACATGAATTACATCAAAGATCAACATTGCATATTGTAACTATGGGTCAACTAGAGGTGCACTGTTTAACTTCCACATAGCAGAGCATGCCAGGACCTGCAACCGAAGAGGCTGGGTGGTCTCTGGCCAGGAGTAAACACTCATCCATTAACAGAGAAAAATGCACTTTTAATGGGCTGTAAGCCTCGGTCAGGAGACTGCAAGTCTGGCTGACATTTTGTTGACCATTTTAAAATTTTAATATGAGACAACATTCCTAGAGTCTTTAGCTCTTTGCTTTATATCTCTTACAAAGTCATCAATGTAAATGTATCACCTGTAACAGTGAAGTGGTTTAACAGTACAATGTATTGTATTGTTTTGTAATGTGTCTTACTGTATCATGGCTAGCGTGTTAGCTCGCTGCTCTTATTAATATTTATATGCTGCTAAGGAATCAGTCTGAATGGTTCAGGCAAAACTCCACTGTGCCATTCTAAAGTCTTAATTAATGTAGTTGTATAATGCTGAACATGCTAACAAACTGAAAATGGAAACATTAAGATATTAAAGCTGCACTATGTAATTTTGGGATTTGGGGACCTTTGTGGTGTAAATATGTAATTACATGCAATGTGCTAAAAAACATTTTGTAATGTCAGTTGTGCTTCAGACCTCTCCCCCAAGTGGATGAATCTGATGATTGTGAGTACATTGAAAGAGTATTCACAGAGAACTCAGTCAAAACTTGGTGAACAACATGTTCTCCAAGGATGCAACGACACTGAGAGAAACCATTGTATCACATTGAACTGAATTATGAATTCTGTAAATCGGTACACTCCTATTACTTTTTTTTGTCCATTATATAATGGTGACAACCTGAAACTCAAATACAGAAAAGTCATATATATTTTACAGAATATTGCAGAATACTGAATATTTCTTCTTCATTTCTTTGTTTTTAATTTTTCCAATTTGTAAAACTTTCTGTATATCTGGATTTAGATAGAAAAAACATCCCAAATTTTCAATGTGGTCTTAGACTTTTGAACTCCCACTATAAGTCATCTCTTCAAATGTGTACATCCTTTCCACATGGATATATTACAACAACCGTTTTGTCTTCCAGTCTACTGACTTTTGGCAATAATTGTGTTTGTATAATATATTTTATTAATCTGGAAATATGTGTACATATTTGAATCAAGTAAATTCAAAGTAATACTTCCCTTAGTGTGTCCCAGAAAGCCCAAACTTTTAAGCTACAAGCTGCTTTGAGGCAATTGTGCGCTTGCTGTCTTTTAAGTAAGAGATAATGAATAGGGTCCTAGTAATGAGGGAATTGCCTTACCTCATCAAACTCTTTGCTAAGACCAAAGTCTGTTAAGACGATGTGTCCATTTGAGTCCAGAAGAATGTTCTCCAGTTTCAGGTCTCTGTAGACAACCTCTAGCTAAAAAAAGAAAAAAAGACATGATCTTTTTTATAATCATTTTAGCTTTTTTGTGAAAAAGACAGCTGAAAAACTGCTGCTATTTCATATTTCTCCCCTACTGTACTGAAGGAAAACTGAATATCACAACAGCATCATCAGAATAGCAGCCTGTATGAAGCTCTTGGGTTTTAAAATGATTCACATGGGTAATATAACACCACATTTGTTTGATAAACAGTGTAGCCTGCAATGAAAATGAAAACCTAATTTGTTCTGTCTGTTTTGGACCAGGCCAGCAGAAAGCCCCCTGGGCAACATTTTCCCCCCTCGGTAATTGCAGCTGTGCAGGGAATCAGCAAGAAGCAAAAATACTGCTCTTTCCTTTTCAGTAAACAAAGCCTTAGAGAAGTTTGGAGAACACTCCAGCTATATCTGTGCCCATTAAATTGGCTGGCCTGGATACTCTGCCACATCAGAAATGGAGCAGAAGCGATATGTGATGACAGGGGAGAAGTGAAGGGCCTGGTGAGGTAAGCAAGGAGCTACTTTAACATTAACTCTCGAACAAAGTCAAGCCAAACCATTAAATAACATATTCAATAGATTCACAAACAAAACATCAACACAGTAATTAAGGATTCAAATCTGCTTACATCACACAGCTGTTGCCATACTCCTTACCTGGTGCAAGTGTTCCAGTGCCAGTACGATCTCGCCGCTGTACAAAGCAACCTCTTGCTCTTTGAAGCGGACCCTTTGCACCAAGTGTGTGAAGAGCTCTCCCCCATTCACATAGTCTGCAATCAGAGCCTGGCATCAGCCTAAACTCACTGCTGATTGCAGATGGCTTAGTTTTTGCTACTAAGAAAGCTCTCCAATACTGTTAACAAAATGATCCTGAATAAACACAACCATATGAAAGCAGAACGTACTGCAATGTGTTGTCGGTCTATTCCAAAATCCAAACAGAATATATTATGATTAATGTTGCACAGATACCGATACCGTAACAGTATCAGACCGGCACTTAAATATAGTATCAGTACCAGCAACAGAAAACACTGATACCATAAAGCTTTAAATATGTGTCCAAACCCAATGAGACCTGACTGCTCACTTCAGGTTCGGACATAATTTCTCAAATATGTGTTGTGTTCAAATTTCATGTTCGGGATTTAACAGCCCACCTCACACTTTTAACAGATTTTAACTGCATTTGACCCAATTTTGCTTTACTCCTTACTTTATAGTTTACTAATTTACTATCTTGTCACCCATGGGACATAAACAGTGAACTGATTGAGAAAAGTATAGTTTAGTGCAGCCAAAAAGACATTTAATAAAAATATTTTAGTTTGGCCATAAAATATTTATATGTAATATATTCAATATGTTCTATGCAGCATTTTCTATGTGCAGAAAGAGTTTTCGGATTAACCAGGTGAAGACTAATATCATGCTATATCAGCACTGCAAGCGTGAGAACAGCGCAGTATGGAAATTTATCCAGAATAAAAAAAATTGCTTGATGAATAAATGTATTAAAGCAGAATTTAAACTTCTTTTTTCTTCAGCTAATTATTTTAATATAGCATATTATTTTATATTGTTTTATATATCATTTATCCATGATCTAATCACAACTATTGTTGTCACTACACAGCTATCCTGTCAGACCAACACTTCGGGTGATGATGGGCTGGTACGGAGCATTTTCGGACAGAATTCTGTCTCAGGTTGGGTTTGGACTCAAAACGGCACGCTGCATGCCGGCTTAGACAAAAAATTCTCATGCTGTATTTGGGTTTGGATCAACATTTCAGGCCTGATTAAAGCTCTAATGGCAATATATCATGCTTGAGACAGTAATAAAGTAGTAAAATGCTCATTACAAAATCTGTAACACTTTTGTGGGAAGGCACAACCAGCAAGTATTTCAATTAATCAATTTTAATGAGGCATTTAAAAATAAACCATTCTAAGAAACCATTAAAAATCAGACAAATCAAACCATTCAAAACCAGTAAATGCCATTCATATAAGCTTAGTGTATTTTATAAGTGACATAGAACACTGCTTTTACCAAAATAAAACATTTATAAACTGGTAATGATGCTTCCTAAATTATTGTAAATATTAAATACATTACATTTTGTATGGGTAACAATAAACATCAGTTATTAACTTATTGTGGTGCACAGGTTTCATTATTTAATCCTTAGAAATCTAGAGTTTATAGTAATTTTTCTATACATTCAATTGCATTATTAATGTAACTATGTAATTGTTATGAAACTAAATGAATTACTGAATTATCTAATTAATTACATTTACATATGATTTGCATTCTGTATTGTGAGGTTTAAGTCTAATTTTTTTTTTTCCATTAGTGTGACCAACAATGACAAAAATATGGGATGAGGGATAAGGATGGCATCAAATTCAAATTATGATAAAATGTGGTATTAATTGAAAAGTAAGAATCTGCGCTCTTAACGGAATTACTCTGCTTGTTTTAATGAGCTAAAAAAATAATTATCTCTGGCAATTTCTAAGGGTTAAAGAGATCTATTTGTATAATAAAATCACTGTATAGCACTCAATTGGGCACTTAGAAATGACTTTTTTTAAAGTTATCTGATATGTGATATGATATTTTTACCAGGGCAAGAGACATGGTTGCACAATATATCACTTATTTATCATTATGTGCTTTTGCAATACTGATGTAAAACGCTTTTTTCACTGTGCTAGAGGCATTTAAGAGCCATCACAGTTTTTAAGGAACTGATAGGTTCATGCATTTAAACAAAACAATATTATCTTGGTCAAAATAAGGCAAGCCTATCATGTCGCATCATTGATTCACTACTGCATTTGTGTCACAATCACAATATGTAGCAACATAGCCTTAGCAGGAAAGCAGAAGCAGAAAGAGCCTACCCAAGATGAGGTGCAGCTTGGTGTCTGTCTGGAAGGCATAGTGCAGGGTAACAAGGAATGGGGACTGCCTGATGTGCTCCAGGACCTGCCTCTCTGTGCGTGTGTGCTCAGCCGTCTTCGCCTTCTGCACGATGGTGGCTTTTTTCAGCACCTTCATGGCGTACAGCTTGCCTGAATCATGCCCACTCACCTTGCGCACCAAAAACACTTTCCCATAGGCTATGTGGATAAGATGAACAATGTTTTAGTTTAGGTGCACCTAAGGAGAACAGACAAAGCCAGGTATGGCGTTAAGAGAACATCCTGGAACTCACCTCCTGTCCCCAGGACCTTCAGCAGCTCAAAGTTCTCGATGCCTACACGTTCCACATGACCTGTCAGGTTGGCTGGAGAGAAAAAACAAGAGGTTCAAACACCTAAATGCTTCCATATCATCTTTCAATTTAACAACTGACAGAAATCATCTTAAAGAACTGCTTTAGGTGTGTTTCCAACCACGTGGATGAGCTTACTTCATGACATGGTGCAGTAATCTGACAAGTAGTAGGCACACTAAGTAGGATATATGAAAATCAAAGACTTAGGTATGCATATCAAAAGAACCTCTATTTCTATGCCGCCAGTTTTTGCTGAAAAAAAAGAAACCAATTCTGTTATTAACCCTGAGAATTTACTACTTAAGATGCAAACAAACTCACTCATGAGTTTATTGCGACGTCTACAACGCAAATATAGCCATGTTATTTACTGTCCAAAACCATCAGTGAACCTACACAAGTCTTCTGAGGTTTTATAAATAATGCTGACAATGAAACAGTGGTAAATCTGTAAAAATGAATTTTATGGCCTGCATATACATCTCCACCATGAAAGTACTTTAAAAACATATATTTCAGGCCAAAACTGTATCTCAAAAACGATCATGAAACAATATCTCAGGCATCACACAATTTAACTGTAACCATTTTGTGTAATAACTTCCTGTGAGGTTGCTTTTAAAGACAAACACTGCAAACATCTGGTCCACTCCCACTGTGGACTATAATGACTCGGTAGGTTTCTCTAGTGGTGAATTTCACATCAAAACTGGCTGATGTCTCACCTTAAATTATGCAGAAACGTAATCATCTGAAATTCCCCTTTAATTACATAATGAATTACATTTAGACTCAATTTACATTTTGGGTCAACAGGTTCAAGTCTGTGCTTTTTTATTTGTTTCAGTGCCAAGACTATCTTTTTTTTTTAACAAAACAACATTGCATTCACACCAATAACGTTTCATTAAATTCATGTCATAATAAAACATTTGCTCGTCTCATTACAAATATGTGGTAATGACTGAAGGTTTTAAAGTTAAAGCTTAGAATCCACACTTTCTACAGAATTTCTCAGCTGGTTAAAATAAACAATGTAAATTATTATCAAATTATCAATCAGAATTGTTCACAGTGCTAATGACAGGAAGCAGACATTTCTCAAGGCTAACTCACGGAAAGCTATCACACAAAATGGTAATGAATATACTGTCTAATGCTTGATATTTCATTTTACGATAAGCTTTTTACATATGGTTTTGGCCTAAAACATATTTTTAAATATACAGACTGGACAGAGAGGAACATGCAGGGTAGGTAAGACAAAATAGTACCCAAATGTGTTATAGTTTTGTTAAGAAAGTCTGAGTCAGCAGGTTTCGCTACAGTGCACTATTTCACATCAAACCACTCTGAATCATTTTGCTTACATCACAACATGTTTACATCATCACGAGAGACTTATGTAGAAATATTGAAAAATCGGTGGAATTCCCATTATTAATGAATTACACTACGTTATTGGTGGCAATAACTGTGACTTCTAAGTGTTGATTAGCACAGAAACATACAAAACGCTTTAGCTTTCTGTAGATATGTCACACAAGAGATTCGTCACTTCTTTCAGTAGGATGTGGCAATAAAAGTAGCAAAAGTTCACTTTCCAAGATGATTTCACTTCTCTTTTTAGGAATATCAGTGTAACTATTCAACTACATCTGAGACTGCTCTACTGTCTTTATAATAGTCAGAAGGCCTAGAAGTGACTTTTGACTTGCCATAGCATGTTTAGCATGTAAATATTAAAAGAATATATTGTTGAAATTCTCCCTCACATACATAAATCAGTGCGTTAGATGTAGATGTCTGAACATCAGTGTTGAAGAGAGGGCTGTAATGAGAGTGAATGAAGCACAAATGAACATGTGCTAGACTGTCTGAGAAGAGCAGACATGCATGTTAGTGTGCTGTCTGGAGTGTACGAGTAGTGAGGTCATATGCTACTACGTGTGTCTGTTATGAGTGTGCCCACTGAGGTGAACGGATTCCTGCTGTCACACTCGTTCCAAGCACGCACACACGAGAGAGCTGCACACCGCATCAGCCACACACTGCAACTAATCTCTCGACACTTTCAGTCTCAATAACACAGCATAGGACTGCACTGAATTTACTTGATTCAAATGAGTACACTATTTCCACATTAATAAAATAGAGTCATACGTAAAACTTACAGTCAAATTACATGTTTTGTTGATTTTCTAAGTGAAAATAAGTTAATATGACAGTTTTCTGCAAAATTTTCTGCACAATTGCTATTTATTTGCTTAGTTTAACATAATGGAAAAAAAAACCAAAATATAAAATATGCTATCAATTTTTATATGACTTATATATTGCTTTGAAAATGTTAAATTCAGCAAAGAAGCAATAATTGTGCATTATAATGTGTAGATATGTGTTCTCTGTAGAGGATGTGTTCACTTATTTTCACCTAGAAAATCAACAAAACATGTAATTTGGCCAGAGTTACTTAAAAGTAAGCCAATCTGTAAAATTGTGCTTTGGAAACTATTATTTCACATATGTGTTTCAGTATACAGTCTCAAACATACACAGCAAAAGTGATTCTTTAGGTATTTGCATTAATACTGTGGGCCACTAAAAAATTAGAGATGTCTCTAATCTGATACCAGGTATCGGTATTGGGATGATTAGTAAGTAAGTAAGTCAACTTTATTTATATATCTCTTTTTTAAGCCAATGTTCGAAAGAGCTTCACAATAAGATATTATAACAATAAAAATAAGGGGGAGGAAACCACAATAAATACAAAGCACATTAGGACTATTTAAAACAAACAAAAACAATAGAAAACATCATAAATAATAAACACAACAAAATAACACACAATTAAGCATGCTACCTGTGATCACAACTCATGAAAGCTGAAGAATAACAATGGGTTACAAGTCGTCGCTTATAAGTAGTAAAGGAATCAGAGAGTCTAAAATCACGGGGAAGACTGTTTCAAGTTTAGAGGCACAAGTGCTTGATTAGAGGTTCCTCAAAGACTTGACACTTGACAACAGCAGAAAAGGCAGAACTGGACATTAGAGAGGAAAAAATATATGAATTTGATCCAATTATGTCACAAATCTAGCCTGAAATATCCCAGAATTGCTTGTAACCCTGAACAATGTAAAATGAGGTAAAGTAGGTCATGTTATAACATCAGTAACTACATGATAATGTTACATGATAACAGTAAGGGTGGGGTAGCAGAGTGTTTGAGCATGCTATACCTGTAACTGTATAAAAGCTGTATAAAAACAGCTGCTAAGCGCAATCTATTCATTTTTCAGTGTCAGGCAAAAAGCAGAAAACATATACATAACAGAAAATTGCACAGAATTCTCAACAAGTAAATATAATATCAGATTTTTCAGTATTTAGTGTGTCCACACTTTGCATTTCAATTTCCATTTTTTTCGCAGACTTTCTTTTTGTTTTTCAAAGAGGAATGTTTTCCACATCTCTGAAGTTCAATCTTATAAGTTGGTTGCATTTTCTGCTTCTCATAATCCAAGTAATCCTAAACACATTCAGTGATGTTGAGGTCCAGACTCTGAGGTGGTCAGGTTATCGCTCTGAGAACACCGGCAGCTTTTCTTCTTTTTTCTCTATTTCCTTTTCTCTTCTTTTACACATCTACACATCCTTTTTAGACACATAGTGTTGAGCTGTGTTCTCACAGTGGAAAGATGGACAAAAAACACCTGCTTTTTCAGATGTGAAGCAAGACTGGAGCTTGACTTTCTTCTATCTCTCAAAGATGAAAGTTTTAAGAACTGTGGTTTAAGACCAGTGGTCTACCAGGTGTTACTTATTTGCTGTACATCTTTTAATGGAAAAAAACAGGAAATATTAATCATACTTATATTTTATAATATATCTAGAACATCTTGCAAATTACACCTTGGTTGTTTTCACTAAACATTAAATAAATGAAGGTCTCAGTACTGTATACAGGTTTGGGTAGTAATGGAATACATGTAACAGCGTTACGTAATCAGGATAACTCCAATCTGTTACAGTTACAGAAAAAAAGACAGTAATCATTACAGGTACATTATGAAAACAGGGTGATTACCAGCAGGATTACAACCAAATGCAAACCGAAACACAATACAAACATGCATAGTACATAAATGAAATGTCATTGTAAAGCTTAGTAGTTTTTAGAGAAAAAACACTGGTATCGGTATCAGCCCGTAGTCAAGGTTTCAGTATCTGTATCGGAAAAGTGGTATCGCGCCATCTCTCCTAAAAATGCTTAATTGTGAAGAAGCATGTGTGCTACTAAATTAAAGTGCTGTCACGACTCGCTTGATAAACTGCTGAGGCCAACAATGTGGTTTTGACTCATGCAGAGCTACAGAGCATCTGATATTATAAGGAAATAAACTCAGCCTAACATAAGCCACAAGCTCACAAAATAAATGTAAAGCTTGCTGTTTTTTTATCTTCTCTGTGGCATCTCTGGCTACCGCAGCCACCTGCTCTCTGATTGGACAAAATGCAGACTGTACCATAGGTGTGAGTAAACTTTAAAGTAAGAGTGTGGATTGCACAATCACCAATGTGTGTTTTTGATGATTTTTGTTTAAGGGGCTAAAGGGGTGATAATCAAACACTCAGTTCCACAGCTCCAAAATGTCATTCGCCTGCTGACAGAACACTGCAGAAAACACTTTTAACCCTTAGCTCTTATCTATGGTAATATTCATACCCCACAAATGGAGCAATTCTGTTGAAAGTTTGGGTTCTAAACATACAATCGATACCACATTTGTGCTTGTGAGTAGAAGAGGGAATATTTTATCACGATTTGAACTTGATGAAGTTATTGAAGTTATTGATGTACCCAGAATCTTTTTTTGCAGGATAAACATGCTTTATATCAGCATGTTTCTGTCATTTTCTATCATCAACACAAATGTAAAAGTTGCACAAGTGAACATGAAACTGTTCATACACTCTCAGAAATAAAGGTATGAAACTGTCACTGGGGCAGTACCCCTCTTGTCACTGGGGCGGTACCCTTTAGGGTACATCTCTGTACCTTTAGTCTGGGAACATAAATGTACCATAATCCATTGAAATTATATATGAGTTGTACACACACCAACGTAGAGACCTAATAGGCTTAGGAAGATATCAAACAGTACATAATTTTGGAATTCATGTTAAAATTTCAAAGATTCTACTTTTCATTAAAATTATGTTGATGGTATAAATTGCAATGAATGACTTTGTAATAAGCTAGAAAAGAATGCCAAACAGAAGCATTTTCACTAGTGGTCTCAGACTTTTGGAATCCACTGTAGGTGTTTATGTAATAGAGCTGCTTTAATTCAAGACACATTTTAGAGAAATCTGACAATAGAGTATCATCTCAGTCGATTATGCAATTAATTTGAACAGTATAGCAAAATGAAATCTTGTATTTTAATGTTAACTCAGAAAATGTGTATAATGTCCAGTGAGATGATCAAACAAATGAGTCGCAGCCACAGAGTTACAAAGGAGGATACTGGAACCTAACCAGGGGATTCTTAAAGGAACTACAAACTAGAAATGATCTCACTTCCATGTTTAGAGAAATCAACACAGCTCAAAATAGTTCTCTACTGAAATTATTACAAAAATGACAAGAGATTTGGGGCCAAGACTCCCTCCTAAAAAGAGAGCTTATTTCATTTTCTTTTCAACTCAAACTATCCTGATATGTCTGCAGTGTTTTGTTTTTCCAGATAGAACTGCCACTTTCGTTTTTGTTCTTTTTTGGTATTCCTCTTTTTTCTTGCTTGTTCCGCACACAGACACTTTTTCTTTTTCTTTTTTTTCTTTTACTTTCCCTTCACACACCCACTTTCACTCATCTAATTTCTTTATACAAGCCTTTTGTTTTGTCTGAAAAATGAAATCACTGTATTGGTCAACTGAGCTCTGAAAAGACAAGTTATGAGCGCTGGCTAAATTATCAAAAGGTGAATCTGTTAATGCTTAAGAAGGAGTGTGCCATATGGAAGGTAGCCATGACACACTCCCTACTGCTGACACCACCCATAATTCAGGATTATGGGAAGAATTCCTTGGTGAAAAAAGAGAACACACTCACAGAAGTAAGGCTATAGGTTTGGCCAGCTTCATACTAAAATAAAGTGCCTAAAACAGCATATACCAAATGCCTAGGACAATCTGTAGATAGAACTCACTGCATAAGCTGTAGTCCAGTGTTTCAACATTTATGCATAGAGTATAAGATGTAAACAAAGTCATTCGGTGTGGTTTAAAATGCTCCATTCAAGAGACACATACATAGTCAGGATTGTTGACAGTGGTGGTCTTGGAAGCAAATATCTAAAGAGTTTAATGCCTCTATAAGCCCCCTCACAAAACATTCTTACATGAAATAGTTACGAATGCACTGCCTGATGACTGAGACATTGTTTTACGATGACTTTGTATTTGTATGTTAATTTGGAAAAACAGTAGAATTCTCCTTTAAAGAATTACAGCCCACCTAAAAGAATCTGTTATTTGAATCCTAGTTCTGGTAAAGCCATGCTTTGAAAGTACCAGTAACAATAAAGCAATGCTTCACAACAGATTGTACCTGCTAAGAATAAAAAATCTATTGCTAAAAAACCACTCAGCCTGCGCTTAGTTAGAAGCAAGCCATGAGATTCTTCTTAAAATGCCCTTAAAGGGGAACTCCACCAAATTTTGCAAAGAGTCACAATTGTTAACAGCAGTGGTGATAGGAACCAGACGAATGGGGAGTGTAATGCCTCTGAAAGCTCACTCGCAGAAGGTTATTACATGAAATGGTTATTAATACATTGCCTGATGTCTGAGATGTCAATTTATGGTAGTTTTGTGATAAAGTGTTGGTCTAAAACAGTATTAAAACTAAAACTAAAAGTATTTTAATTGATTTATTTTAAGTCACTCATGGTGGAGGAATACAAAAAGGGTATTCTAAGGTCAAAGAAAACTCTTCTTTTCAGACTAACCATCATTGTATTATCATCAACACTGAACTGGTGGTTTTGGATAGTAAATAAAACAGTTATATTGGTGCGGTAGACATCGGGTTCCCATCTCCATCACCGTAAGGAAAACGAGTCGGTGAGTATCGCTACAAATAAACCGTTTCACATCAAACCAATCCGAATGACTTTGTTTATATCTCAACCCCTGAATTATGAAATTTTGAAAAATCGGTGGAATTTCACTTTAACAGTGTCAGACAATCAAAAATGTGGCCAACTGGTGCTCTGCAGTAAGTGGACAGAACGGAGAACATGACACGCCTCTCATCCAGCTCAGTCTCCAGTTTATTATAATGGTCTGAGAGGTTTGACAGGCGCCTGGACGGCTGAGTGAAATAAGGCGAGGCCCCGTGAGGCAAATTAGCTGCCTTCACAGTTAGCTAACGTTACTGGTACTGCTGGGGAAAAGTTTGAAAAACCTACACTGAGCTGACAGGAGTTATGCGACCCCCAACAACCAGCAAAGCAGCTACCTTAGCGACTATGCTAACAATGCAGGTAAAACACACATCTGCAGGACTGACTATCTCACATTTAGCTTCACATTTCTCAGCAACCCAAGGTGAGCTAACACAGCAGCTGGTCCTCAAGTGTCCCTGACTGACAACCAGAAACAGAGAGGGTGCTTTCTACTTGCTCTTCCTAGCTAGGCCAGAATATTGCGATTACAGCAACGGCAGTCCTAACAACTGCTCTCAGAGAAGTAGAAAGATCAGGCAACTTCAGTATCAAACCTGCTGACAAGCTGAAGCCATGCCTGAGAGTGTATTACAATGTTATTGATGCCGTGCATGTACAGTCCGCCTGCACCACCTATGACAGTTCAGAGGGCGGTTAAGGCTAGCTCGCACCAACGCTAACTTGGCTAGCGAGTAAACTGACTGCCAAGATGAGTGACTTAGTTACGCATGAGTCGAGAATCACATATATCTTACTAACACTGACTTACCGTTTGTAAGTTCATGTTTCACAGTAACCAGGTCACCTTCTCCCGTTAAGCCTTCCTTCGAAGACGGCATTTTCCGAGCGCCAGCCACGGTTTCCTTGCTAGCAGCAAGCGCAGCCGCTAAATTAGGGGTCTATGGCGTGAAATAATGAATTCAGCGACTCACACTAATCCATAAGCGGCGTTACATTAAAATAATTAAGGTAAACAGGACAGAAAAGACGAGTACAATAACTGCATACTCGAAAGCAAAGGACAGGCTGGCACGCTAACTTACACCTATAACGTTACCACTGCACTGTTGCTACTAATAGCAAAGCACTGCCCATAGAAATAATAATGCTCCCTACACGCACCGACCGACCAAGTCCCCCTAACAGAAACGCCTAGTGAGGTTGTCGAGCAAAATCCTGAATCTAGAGCTCTGGTGGACCATGCGCCGTCTTTACAACGTCTTCCTACATTGTTCTCCTGAGCTGGTGTCAACACAAATGTGCAGGTTCCCCACAATAATGAAGGTTAGAATAAGAGCGAAGGAAGTGGGTCCTGGAGCGCGGCAAAACTGGTCAAACTGCTTCAGATGGTAGAATAAAACATTTTGCCCTTTAGTACCGCTGACTACAATTACGACGTATAGAGCACAGTCTAGGGCTAGACAAACCAGAGCATGAAACAGAATATCTGTTTTGTGGTTTAAGTAAACGTTTATTATGTGGTTATTACTTACATTTAGTTGTGGTTGTTCAGGTAGTTATTGCCTTTAATAATTTAAAATGTGGAGCTACTTTAGAATCCTCATACAATACTTATTAAAGATAAATCTCTTTTACATGACTTATTTTACGAATTTCGAGTATTGTAAGCGGATTCTAAAGTAGCTCCAGCTTTTAAAGTATTTCTAATTGAACTGAATGATTTATTAAAATATATCAAAGGTATAGGTCGCTGTAATTGGGCAGATGTTGCTATAATGAATGAAAGCTAGATGATTTTTTTCGCGATTGTTTTTTATGCCTTCAGCTTAATCTCAGAAACAGCTGAATTGCTATGGACTAGACTTTCTGTGACACTGACATACCTTGTGACACATTCAGTAAGTTTTATTACATGAAGTGTAATGTAAGAAATGTTTTAGCGATTGTTAAATTGGTTAAATTCAAACCTATTACGTACATGCGGCATGTAAAAAGGTACTGCACTTCTTCCCAGTCATAGAGTGACACTGCATTTATTTATTTATTTATTATTTTTTATTATTGAGAATGAGAGCTATCTACTTGTCTGAAAAAAGCTCAGTCCCATATTCTGTACTTTCGTAACGTACACAACAGAGCAGCGGTATGGACTTTTATTTTGAAGAAATGTATTTGTTATTGACGTGTGTCGTCTTGTTTCTAGCATCTCGGTCCATAGTACAGAATGGCGGCTCTTTTGGAATCGCTGCTCCAAAGTGAGGTGGAGTTGAACAGGGCGTTAAACTGGCTGAGAAGACAAAAAGTAAGGACTTCGTCCTGTATTTAATTGCGACAACTAATACCTTCGTTGTGGGAAAATAAGATTGTGTTGTCATGACATAGAAAGGAAAAAAATGGATCTAGATCGCAACTTAGGCTAGTTAAAAGCAACAAATGTGCTAACTAGCAAAGCTATAGGTTAGCTAATGAGGTGACATGCACTTCACTTCGCAATCTGGCAGAAATGTAGCTGGGTTATTAAGTTAACTTTTTTTTTTTTAAAAGGAAATGCATTTTTAAAAACTGCTGCTTTTATGTAACGTTAATTACACAATTTTAAGTTTTAGGATACAATTAGATTGACTTTCATGACTGTTTAAAAGAGGCGTTTCAATAGGCTATGCCAGTTTTATGTTTACCTTTTTATAGTGCTTTCGTGTTGTATTGTCTTGCAGTGAAGTCATTTCCAAATGTACATTCTGTATTATTTCATATAGTAATATATGTTCTTGCACAAGCTCACGGTTTACTTTTGTGCCATGGCAGGGATGTGAAAATGATGACCATTATCTGCTGCTAAAAGTTAGAAAGGAGGAGTTTGTGCCTTTCCTTCTGAATTTCCTGAGGGACCAGAGCAGTAACACTTTGACCCATGGCCCTACTACCCCTGCCAAAACCCCTAGTTCTTCCAGGCCTCTCAGGGCCCAGGGCTCTTCTAATGAGCGCAGGGGAAACAGGTCATCGACAGGGCAAGGATCCCGCAGCGCTAGTCGAGTCCAGCTCTTCTCACCTGCTAGCCACACATCCCAAGTGGACAACCCAAATGAGCTGGACACTCAGCTCATTGGCTCTCAGGGCCTTACTGGCATTAGTACTTTCAGCAGCCCCTCATTCAGCTCAGGGTGGAGCCCTGCTGCAAGACACACGCCTTCCGAGCGTAGATCTGCCCAGCGCCCCTGTCTTGCTGACTTTATGACCTCACCCCCAGAGACCCAGCCCAGCCCCACCTTGCAGCAGCATCGAGGGCGCAGGAGGAGTGGGCCATTCGGAGCGTCTGCCGCTAATCGACAGATGGGAGCTCGTAGCGGCCAGTCGGAAGACAGTGGTCGGTGGGATGGTGCAGGGAGGAAGGGCAAAGGTGGAGGAAAGATTAGTGAGCCACTGTCACCACCCACACAAGTAGAGCTCAACTTCAACAATTTGGAGGACTTTCCGCCAGTGGGCACATCCCTTGTCTCACCTATGTGAGTGATTAAAACTTAATTTGTTTTCTCTTTTGTGTTTAATCTAATTTATTAGATAATGAAAGCTCTGAAATACTCATTTCAGCTACTTTGAGATTATTTACTTCAGCAAAGTACTATGACAGCTATTACGGTGGACGTGTGATGAGCAAATGTATTTTCTGCCAAGTTTCTTCTATTTCATTCGAACTTCACTTGCAGTTGAAAGGTAAGTTCAAATTCAAGTCAAACTATGATGTCAGGGTCTTATTCATGGGATGATGGTATCTTACTCAGAGTATCACGGTCTTATTGGCATCACTGGCATGAAGTTAAAAGTGTACATAAATTTTTTCTATCTTCTTTTTTTCCCAGAGCAACTAAACCATCCCGGAGGATCAACCCAACTCCTGTCAGTGCAGAACGACCAAACTCCAAGCCCAAAAGCTGCTTCACCTCCACACCCCTCAGCCAACCATGCAGTCCTCCTTCCATGCCAGAGTCCATGGGTACAGCACCAAGTGCTGCGAGTCCCCTCTGTTTGCAAGAAGAGAGGGAGCTACTAAAGAAAGAAAGGTATTCATGCGACTTGAGAATACATTGGTCGAATTCTTAATGGTATCTTCCTTCATTTCTTTATTCTCTGTTGCCCCATCTCAATTTTTTCGTTACATTTTTTTTTAGATCTAAACTTGCACAGCAAACCAGCTCTCCCCTGAAGCCCATCCCAGGTGTTTGCACCCCCACCAGACCAGTGAGACCAGGCCCCAAAGCAACTCCTGATCCCCATGCACCCTGCCCTGACCCTGCCAAAGTGACTAATGCATCGGAGCTAAAACTTTTAGCTGAGCTATACTGTGCCTGCATTTCAGGTGAGGCACCACCAGGGGCTGCCCTAGAGCAATATAGTAAAGACATTGCAAACGTAAAAGCGATAGTTTGGCAAAAAATCAGATTAGCACAAATTTCGTTTGTGTGTCATACAGTGTGAGTGTTTGAGATTCCTTAACAGCTCAGTGTAGTGTGTTTGATGATTTGTGGCTACTTTTTGTTTCATTTTAGTTATTTTAGTGTATGCACAAGCTGGCTCCTCCTAGACCTGTGCCAGTAACAGAGCCCTCTTATTTGGGTGTGGGAAATTACAGCAGTCATACAGGGTTTGTTGGAGGGTATTTTTCTTTTCTTTACCTTTTTGTCCAGTAATGTGACTTGCATAGTATACTGTCATCTGTGAAACCTTAATCTAAAAATTGTGAATGTCACATGAATTTCATTGTTCAAAAGTTCATGGTTGCTTTGTCTGATGCCTTCTCCTCCATAGCCATTTCGCCTGAGGTTGTTTGAAAAGGCCTGTTCCACCTAATGTACAAGAGCTGAGACTTTATTGCAGTCCAATTTTAACATGCTTCAAAGTCATTTTTTCAGATGTGTGAAACCTAATGGTGTGGTCTGAGGACGTCTTAAAATGCACACCTTAACATAGCCGGCTTTTGTACAGGCATAATATCTGTCTACCACACCAAGCACATTTACACAGCATGGCCACATTTTGAGAACAGTCTTATCTGGACAAGGTGCAATGAATGTGATATTAAAGAAAGAACTCACCAGCATGGTTAAAAGTTACAAAAGTGTGGGAATACTAGTGTCTCGCTGTGCTTTGCATGGAAATTAATAAGTAAATCAATAAATGAACAACATTTTTAAACCGGAGGTAAAGTACGTTGTTTACCCGTCCTATGGGCTGTTACTGCAATAACTCGGTTAACTGTCACCGGGCACAAGCCTAGCTCACCCTCTCCTCCCTTTGTTCGGAACGTTGGTTGTGCGTGTCCTCAGAAATTAACACAACACACCTGCCAGATGCAGTACTAACATAACTGGTAGAGGCTGTACGCTACTATGTAATGTCAATTACAACAGCCACTTCTGCTGTTTTTCTTATGATAAACAATGATGGGTATTTTTGGGCCGGACAGGAGTGTTTTGGCCCTGACCTGCACTCTTTGGACAGGTCCTCTGGACAGACAAAATGTATGCAGATGAGTACATGAAAAACACTGCTGTGCATAATATTGTTACATATACCCTGTCAAAGCCATGATCTGTTGTTCACAAAAAAATGCTGTTGCATAATAGCTGGGTACGTACGTGTGTGCGGTGGTGAAAAATGAAAAATAAAGTGCTTTGCTTACTAGCAACATTAGCCTCATAGTTCCAGGGGCAAAACTAACTTAAGAAATCAAACATGTCTTGGTTGATCAACTACATTTTGGGAAAAATTGCATTTTTTTTTATTTTAATGATTTCTGTGGATGTGATTTTTGTATGGTTTGATGAACGGTGATCATTTTGTTTGGAACTGTTGTCATTATAGAGAACTTGGTGCCGTGTGTGTTCCTGGAGCTGTTCTTTGTGCTGCAGTTGCTGACCACACGCAGTGTGGTTGCCTCTGAAACCGTGGAACAGGACCACAGCGTGCGTGTAAGAAAAACAGGTTGGTTATTGTACCGCTATCATGTTCTCATCAGTCAGCCATTTTTTGTCACCGCTTATTCTCACTTATTCCTTCCTCTTGCCCATGTCATGTTACAGATGCCCTTGAGAGAGCTTATCTTGGAAATGTACACAACTGTGTGTATTTTGCAGTGCGAGTTCTGGAGAATCATTTTGCGTGAGTTTGTTTATCCTCTCCACACTGAGTGTCAGCCTCTTCTTTGCTCTGTGTCCTGACTCACCCCACACTTGCATTCTGTCTCTCAGGCTGCTCTCACACCTGGATCGCTGTACACTACGCCTCCTGGCGGAGAATGAAAGAGTGGGGGCATTCTCTCCAGCCTTGCGGGATCGCCTGGTACAGACTCAAGACACCTGCACAGCTAAAGTATGAAAT